CACTCTTAAAATTTAACGAAAAATTCCTATTGTACATTATCAATACATAAATATTCTTATGAGAGATTGATATCGAATTTAACAATAAATAATAAATTGTATTGTCAAGTCAAGAATAAAGTCTTAGCTAAGCATCGATTGGTATGAGAAGATTTTAGGACAGCACTCCATACCACTAAGTGACTGAAAGACAGATGTATGCTTCCTTCTCTTCTTTCTTCAATACATAGATCATCTCAGATTCATCGTACTTTTTTAGTTTACTAGAATGAGTCAAAAGAAAATTTTAGATTTCTTTATTCACTAATATTCAAGATCAATCTATTTCAGTTATTATTTTCGAGAATAAATAAACTATACTCTATTATTTTAAAGTGCTATAAATGAAGAAAATAATGAAGCAAATAAGATAAAAAATCGTTTAACAAATGAATGGGGTAAAGTACCAGATACAGCTCGTTATTATAAGGTAAAGATAAATCATTTCACTATTTGTTTTTCTTTGGTTTTGAAAATTATTTTCTATTTTGAATAAAGAGTAAAAATATTCCATGGATTGTTATTGGTGATGAAAATTATGGTGAAGGTAGTAGTCGTGAACATGCAGCACTTGAACCAAGATTTCTTGGTGGTCGAGCAATTATTGTTAAAAGTTTTGCTCGTATTCATGGTAAATAAATGAATTTTAAAAGAAAACTTCATAATTCATTTGATATTTTATAGAAACAAATTTAAAAAAACAAGGTTTACTTGCTTTAACTTTTGATAATCCAGATGATTATGATAAAATCAAGCCAGATGATAAAATTTCTTTAATTGGTCTCAATAAATTAGCACCTAATGAAGTATATTTGATTTCGAATTGAATTGAATTGAATAGAATTGAATTATTTCGATTTTGTATTTATAGCCAGTTGAATGTCGTATTAAACATTCTAATGGTAAAACTGAAACAATTAAACTTAATCATACACTCAATGAATCACAAATTGGATGGTTTAAAGCTGGCTCAGCACTTAATGCTATGCGTACATTTTTTGCTTCAAAGAAAGGACAAAAAATGATAGATAAAGCAACAGGTTAATTAATTATTGAACTGATATTTTATTTTTTGTTTTTCATTGAACATCTCACTATGTTCTTTACATTCTATTGGATTTTTTTTTCCATTGTATGAAACTACTACTTTTTTTTCTATTTAATGAATGTTCATTATGGTTTCTTTTTACAATATCTAAATAATTCCGCATTCATATTTTATATCTTAATAAGTATAAATCTTCATTATAAATAAAGAAAATTTTCATCTACTGGATATGATTTGTTACATTAAATTTAGAGTACTGATGAAGAAGCCAAACTGAAATAAATACGTATGGTATGTAAATATTTGTTAATATAAGTATAAAAAGCCATTATTCAAGTTTAACGATGTGTTTATACAGCTATATAAATATTTTTTTGTGTAGTAAATTAAGCTTGCATGATTTTTGCAGATAACCAAGAGAGAATACTTATAACATGACGAGTGCCTGCTACGAATAAGAAAAGATTAGTCGTGTTTCTAGAACATTGCAAAAGCTTAACTAGATTCAGCTCATTTGTGGAATATTCTTAGTATCGAATTCTCGCTCTTGATATGAAAAAAGCGAATTTTTGAGATATACAGTGGGTACCAAAGTTATTCAAAAAGATTTCTTTTAATTTTTTTCCACTACCGTAAGTGGTAGAAAGTATACAAATAGTGATTCAAGTAGAGAAAACTGTGTCCAAAAAGAATAGAAGAAAATAAAACTTATCAGATTTCTAATGATAGGAACTCAAGAAAATTAAAATCCTAGTTTTCCAATGCCTAGAGCGTATAAATATAATTTTGTTTAGACTTCATGGAACGCTTGAGTAGACAATTCTCTACAAAATGAGTTATCTCGAAGTTCTCTGTGATGTGTTTTTTTTAGCTCAGCTACAACAATTTGATTGAAGGTCAAAAAATAGCTGTTCTATAAGAAATTGTAAAAAAGACTATTTTAGGACTTTTCTTAAGACTACTGTATCTCGGCTAAAAATCGTTGCAGAGAACTTGGAGACGTCACATTTTGTAGAGAATTATTTACTCTATCATTCTATGTAGTCTAAACAAAATTATATGTGCACGTTTTAGGTGCTGAAAACTTAGCCTTTTCGTTTTCTAACATCTCTATCCTTGAGAAACTGATAATAATTTGTTATTCTATTATATTGTTGTTGAAAACAATTTTCTCTACTCGAATTACTAGATAGATTCTTTGGAGCGCTTATGACAATGGAAAAAAATTGAAAATAAATCTTATTAAATGATTTTGGTATCCATTTTATATGTTAAGACATGATTTTCTAAGAATATGTTTATTTGATTACAATTGGATGAATTCATCGATCTTGCTTATTGTATCTAAACTCTTTATATTATACTGAAATAATTGCAAACAATTCTTTAATAAATCTTTCTCAATCGATTAATCTATTATTATTATTATAATAAAATTTCTAACAGACAATGTTGAAGATAACATTTAATTTAGAATCAATCAATTATGGTATTTTGAGATAACATTTTTTTTCCTACTTTTTCGAAATAGCATGCATTTATGAGATCGACATAATACATTCGATTACATAACAATATAAACGATTATTGTATAATTACATATATTATTAGAACATTATAATGCGCATTAGTTAGAATCGATTACATAAATAATGAAATAAATAATCTAGTTTTTTTTTCTTTTATTTATCTTAAATATGTTTTTTTTCCTTATAACACTGAAGTTATTTTCCAAGTTCTTTCAACGTTGATATCAGATTCTTTTATATTGAAACTGTCATGTCAATTCGTATCTAAAACTATCACTATATTAATATTGAACACTTCTTTTTACAATATTACATATTAATTTTGTAGTCTAACTTACTTTCTTTTTACATTAACAGACAGATAAGAATATTCTTATAAACTCTTATAAATACTGTATATTTCCAAATAATTTTAATAAACATAAAAGAAATTATATTGGATACATAATCTATCATGTGTATATCTATTTTTATAACTATCATATATATATGTCAGATATAACTAAAGTCATCATTTATTCTTCTTTATGTAATCAAATCATTAACAAGGCTTTCTACAGTTTATGATTAATACATATATTTTTTTGTATTTTATTATTAAATATGTCGATTACAATGTTTTACATCAGGTGGGCAAAGATAATGATATCCTATTAATTCATAATCTTATAATAAGGAATGGAAAAGAGACATTTGTACTATAATAATCCTCCTTACCACCTAGTGATAACATTTTTTTTGTTTATCTTTCTGTGCACTTGGAAGATGAGCAGTCGCAATTTATATAATGACATTGACATTTCATGAAGAATAATGTCACCAAGTTAATATATATATAAGCACGCATATTAAAAAAAAATCTGTTTTTACTTTCAATAATATCAATAAGAGCGAATAAAAGAACACAGAAAAATAAATAATCGTATGATTAACAAATCTAGAGGTATGCTATCATTCAAGAAAAAAAATATCACTCATGCATGAATAGACCATGGCAAACATCATAAAAAAACGAGTAGATTTACGCTTCAGGAAAGAGAATATAAAGTAGAGAAGTGTTTGATTTCTTGAGGCAAATAAATCACACAGAACGAAGGAAAAAGTGACAGGAACATAATATCTACAAGAGTAATAAGTCGTAGAAAAGAAAGATAACGTTGCTTTCGGGACGTCAGGTGACATATTCTCCTTTAGGCTTAGCGTAAAAGAAATATTTTAGCTGTCACAATAGTTTAGTTAGTTATCATATAGCCTAGAGAGCTATTTGTTTTTTCTATTTGATATATTATATACAATTGTTATTGTGGTTCTTTCAATGTTTAATCAGGTAATTTATTTATTATTATGTGTGAATATATTAATTTGTCGATGTTAGTCACAAAGGAAAAAAAACAACGATCGTAGTGTTCTCGTCCTTCTTTCTCTCTATATAAATATCGATTAATTGACCTTGTTGAGTTTTACAAAGGAAAACAAAAGTGTGCTTAGGATTACTCTCAGGATATTTAAAGAAAAAACACAGGAAGTTCGTATTTTTTTTTAGTAGACAAAGCATCACAACCTTGTCCTTCATTATCATTTACTTGTTTTCTATTTTTTCTTCCTTTTCAACATATTAAATCTTGTTGATCATAATCAATCTATAGCATATTAATCACTAGAAATATACAAGAATAAAAATGCCACATGCTATTAAAGATCAAAAAACAACAATATATCAGTTCTACTGTCTTTTTTTCGTCGATTGATAAAATCAAAACATATGTGAGCATGTGCAATATATATCCCCTACTCAGCATGTCTTTTTCTCTCATCTGTTAATTGATTATAGACGTATGTGTGATATTACATACAATTTTTATTTTTTTTTTTTGTAATAAAATGTTAGCTTTAGTCTATAGAGGATAATATGGGAACGAAACCGATATTGTCGTGTTTTACCGTTATTCCAATGATGATAGAATACATCTCTCTCAGAATAGACAAAAAAGGAAATTAACTTAGATAAACTACGATAATTGACTCTTGACTTTGTTCAATAGATGCGTGAAAATAATGTTCTATCTCTCTTGTCTTTTCTTGTTCTTCCTATTTTTTTTCTTCGTCTCGTTACTCTACGATCAACTTATGTTTTTCCTTTCCTTTCTTCTTCGCCTTCTCTTAATTTAGAGCAATGGGAAGATGCACAAATGTCTGTTACTATGTTTTTCCAGTATCACCATCGGCACATTCTTGAGACGATAATTACATATACATCAGCGGCTAGACGATAGAACGCGTCTCAAGCTAGTCTTAGCTGAAGATAGATGATATTGTTGTTTCTTTCGATAAACGTGAGAACGTTAGCCATGTATCATTTTTGTTTCTTGTATATTTTGTTTAGAACGTCGTAAGTTTCTTCTTCTCCTTCTTTTCCTTCTTTTTCTTTTTCTTCTTCTTCTTCTGGTGCGATAAAAAAAAACACTAAATACTAGTAATAGTCAACATTGCCATTATAATAATAATAAAAAAAAAAAAAAAAAAAAAAAAAAGGGAAAAAAATATAACTGTTACACACGTTTTCTTTTTCTCTTAAGAAGAATATATTATACATAAATCTATCAGCTACTTTGCGTATGTGATGAGGGTTTAATAGAGAGTATATTACCAATTCATTTTTGTTTCATGTGGTAAGAGCTGTAGGAAACCTGAAGGTTTATTCCCATTGCCATAATTATTCTTGATTTATTTATTGTAGATAAAGTGATGAAAACATGAGGACAAACGTTAGAGAATTAGAAAATTTGCTTTCCTTTTTTTTCTTTTTTTGTCCATGTAATTTATTAATAATTCATAATAGAATAAGTACCTAGTGAAAAATGCCTCAATTAGAATTGGATAATTGTGTAACGAAATTAAAATTATGATAAATTTAGAAGATCTTTTTCTTTTTTAGCAACATTTAATTTTGAAAATCTTCTAAATCGGTTATAATTGACATTTTCTTTTTCTGGCAGAATAATCCGATAATAATGCAAATATTTTTCATCAGAACATATTTATAAATATAGACATTTATTTTTTTTTTGGTCTCTATCAATAGTCATGCGACGAGAACAAACGAATACCTTGTGCTCTATCAATCTCTTATCAATCATCGAGAAGAAGAAAGAACGAGGAGGAGAAAAGAAGGAAAAAACAGCAAAGAAAAAAAAATAAGATCGATTCTTTCCTTTTTTTTTCCTTTTGTTCTATTATAATTGTTACATGCACACAACATACTCGTTATTCAGCAGGGCCTATCATCTATTAAGAAAAAAAATCATTCGTTTTTCTTTTCTTCTATGGTATTTATTTATTTTGTAGGTAAGCAACTAGACGTCAGTTGATGATACTATGGAGTCAAGTTTGACGTCGAGTTTCCTCAAAATTGGTGATACTGTAGCTTTATATGCCGAAGGGACTGTTTGTGGATTTATTAGTACTCTTGGGTATGATAAATTGTTGTTTGGTTATTTCATTTGAATGTTTGAATATCAAATTGATAGTCTTGTTGATGATCGATGTGTTGTACAACCTGATGCCGGTGATTTACAAAAACCACCAAAAAAATTTCGAGGTAAACGAAAATTTTGAAATGTTGTCTTTGCTCTATCTTTCTCATAGATTGTCTATTTCGTATTTGTCCAAGTCATCGATATAGTGCCCAAACTCAATATTGGAATGCATTAAAAAGTTCAAGTAGTGTTCGAGATTTAAAAAAATTACAACTTGCTGCTGATACAGAAAAACGTCAAAATGAAGAAGAAAGTCGCAAACAAACTGGCACTATTATAAAATATGGCGACACTGTTGTACAGTTACTACATATAAAAAGTAATAAATATTTAACTGTAAATAAACGTTTACCAGCATTTTTGGAAAAAAATGCAATGCGTGTTTCCCTCGATAATAGTGGTACTGAAGGTTCATGGTTTCAAATTGAACCTTATTATAAATTACGAGCAAAAGGCGAACGTGTACGTTGATTTTTTTTATATGATTAATATTTCTTGTCAACAGCGCAAATATGATTTATAGGTTGTCGTAGGTGATAAAGTTGTACTTATGCCATATAGTGGTGGACAGCCATTACATGTTAGTGAATTAGAACTACCAGATCATCCTGGTTCCAAGGAAGTATGTATACAAAAGAAAAAATTTTCTTTCTATTTTCACATTAAGCATGAATTAATGTTCTTTTTTGTACAATTTCTAAACGAGAGAGATAAATAAAGTAGTAAGAAAGAAAAATAATAAAAATTGTTCTCTTCTAGTGCTGCAGTGTTATTAATCTTCACACGGTACTGAGAAAAGAAAAGGAGAAAAGATGATTTATTTAGTTTGAAGTGCAGTGGAATTATTATTTTTTATTTATGCATGTGTTATGTGATTGTTTTTTTTTTTCTCTATTATTTAGATCAATTGTCATGCGTATACTTCCGTATGTTTGATGTGTATTTGTAGACACATTTTATGTTGACTAGGGAAAAGATGTTTATTATTGTTTTATTTTGTCTATTTATTAATATAAAGTTGCTTTTTATTTTTTCGGGTTATAATAATTTTTCATTAGAAGTAGATCTTCATATAAGTTTTTTAGTAATGAAAATTTTCGAAACGGTTTTTTTTAAAAAATTATTCAGGAAATAAATACTTACAGGTTTTTTTTTGTTAAAGAAATGTAAAATTAAACATAAATTGACTATAACGATCGGAACTAGCTTATTTAATTTATATTATGGAATGTTTTTGTTTCAGTTATATGACTGTTAAGAATAATTTTTATTTTTATACTTTTATGAAGATCTACTTTTAAAACAGAATGATAAGTTTACAAAACTAAAATGACCAATATTATATACAAATTTAATTTATATTCTAATGATTTCGCATGCACCGCAATATTGCGCCGCTTTTTATATGAATATTTGCTAGAGTCGAATCAATGTTTTATTCGAATATAATAGATTAATATTCATTAGAATGTATTTTACAATAGGTTAATTCTCATTTGCAAACAAGTTGGAAAATTGTTTTATTTATGTCATGTCGTGAAGCAACGAATGAAGTACTTAAAAGTGTAAGATAAAGTTTCTAATTTTAAAAATTATAAAGATTAAAAAAAAAATTGTTTTGTTTTTTTTTTTGGTTTTTATCCAGGGTGATATTGTTCGTTTATTTCATGCTGAACAAGAAAAATTTTTAACATGTGATAATTATCGAAAAAAAAGTGTTGTCTTTTTACGTGCTACTGGTCGTGCATCAGCAACAGCAGCAACATCATCAAATGCATTATGGGAAATAGAAGTTGTACAACAAGATCCATGTCGTGGTGGTATTGGTCAATGGAGTTCATTATTTCGTTTTAAACATTTAGCTACAGGACAATATCTTGCAGCTGAAGTTGATAATGATCAAACATTTGATGCAACACGACAAAAATTACGTGGTCCACCAGGTACACCTGTATTTGCTCTTGTACCTATTCCACATGGTTATGATATATCATCTATATTTGAACTTGATCCAACAACAATAACACGTAATGAAGAAGCTGTACCATGGGGTTCATATGTACGTTTACAACACATATGTACAAGTACATGGGTACACTCAACAAATATTAAATTAGATCCTGATGATGATAATGTACGTTTTAAAATTGGTTGTGCATTAACAAAAGAAGATCGTGAAGCATTTCAAATAGTACATGTTTCACCAGATGAAGTACGAGATTTAGATTTTGCTAATGATGCTGCACAACATTTTGATATGACAGTATCAAAATGGGAAAGAATTGGAGCTATGAATGTACATGCTAATGATAGAAAGTAAGTGAAATATAGTAAATATTTGAGTGATTTTTAATGAAATATGATGAATCATTATTATTATTTGAAGAAATTGATGAATCATTTTTTTCTTTGATTTTGATAAACAGAAACAAAAACATAGGATGTAAATCGATACATCGGAGAAAAGTTTAAAAGAAAATGAATGATGTTCTTTATTACAATCATATTTCGATAAAGAGAAACATTTTTTAAAGAATTAAGAAATTATTCAAATACTATCAAAGATTTAATAATAAATTATGTATTATAATAGAAAGATTGTTTCGTGATTCGATATGAACACATGTTACAACTAGTGTAGTAGACAATGTACTTCGTATCTAGTTCAATATGCTTTCTACTTTAGGATATTTTGAAATATGAAGTAGATAATATTAAAAAATGATTCATAATACAACATATGTATGAAATAAGCTGTTTATCCATACCAATAAGTAGATGATCGTTATAAAAATAGAAAAATCTTAACCAAAAACAACATGCTAGTATTTATTACAGGAAAAAGATATAAAATACTAATTTCAGTTTGAAAATTATTATATCAAATTATTATATTTAAGTGTCCGTATTGACTGCCAAAACAATTCTACATATTGGATAGCATATTTAGCAACGTTATAGGTCTTGGGTAAATATCTAATATATTGCAGTTTGTATAATAGATATAAGGTCAAACGATAGAAACAAACAAATAAACTAAATGTCAATAAGACAAAACGATACCAGTTTGTTTTTTTTACTGACATTCTTATTTAAAATTGATTGTTTTAGGCAAGTAATAATGCTCTTAACAGATATTGTATATTTCCTTGCTTGTCAAGAAAATAATGGCACTGATCCATTTGATATACACATTTTAAAAGCAAATCGTGAAAGACAAAAATTAATACGTGAACAGAATATTTTAAAACAAGTAATAATTTAATAAAAATAATCAAAAATAAAAAAAAAAAAACTTCATAATAAAAAAAAAAAACTAATAAAAATTAAATCTATTTTTAAATTAGTTATTTCGTATTCTTCGAGTATTAAAACCACGCTTAGAACAAGAACGTTCAAATATAAATTCAGCAAATGCTTTAGCAACGCGTTCAGATTATCATTATTATCAACATCAAAATTCAACAATGCCAAATAATGATTCATTTATGTCATCACAACAACAAGATGCTGATGTACGTTATTCAACAGCATTTTATCAAATAAAAGCAATATGTCGTCTTTGCTATCGTACACTAAAACATTGTCAACAAGAATATCGAAAAAATCAAGTAAAATTTCGAATAATTTTATTTGTTTGATTTATTCTATTAATTATTTTAAATTGAATATTTATTATTTTAGGAAACAATTGCAAAAGAATTTTCTTTTATGCAATCTCAAATTGGTTTTGATATTTTAGCTGAAGATACAATAACAGCTTTATTACATAATAATAAAAAATTATTAGAAAAACATATTACTGAAAAAGAAATTGATACATTTGTTAAATTATTAAGAGAAAAACGAGATTGCAAGTAATGTCATTTATTTTTAACTTTCGTTTTTGTTTTAAATAAAAAAAAAAATTAATAATTCTTTTTATTTTTAAGATTTCTGGAATATTTATCAGATTTATGTGTATCAAGTAATCAAGCTATAGCAAGAACCCAAGAAATGATATGTAAATCTGTATTGGAAAAAAATTCCGATATTTTAATACGAACAAAGTTTGTTTCTTTTTTTTTTGTTTATGTTTCTGATTGAAAATATTCTTCTTTTTATATTAATTAGACTTGAAACAAAAGGATGTGTTGAAGATATGATATTAGATGATAATATGGGTCCACCAATTGGTTTTTCAAATCAAAATATTTTACGTGAAGTTATATTAACATGGGATGGAAAATCTGAATCAATTGAATTTATGGCTGGTGTTGTACGAGATCAACTAGCACATCCAAGACGAGAAGAATTTCGAAATATTTTAGAATATTATAGGTATATATATATATATGGATCAAGAGACTAATAAAAAATGGTTTTCATAAGTTACATAAAAAAAAATTGATAACACAATATCTCCATTGTACAGATAATTGAATAGAGTTAAGTTTAGACATAAGTAGAATCAATTGTTTTAGTTTCTGATATTGAATTTAGTAGAAATTTTGTTAGTATAGAACTTGAAATTATTCTTTATCATCATCGATAAATATGTAACTTCGTGCTACTAGACAACGACTCATTTAATCACTGATGTTTTTCTTCTCTAACGCTCAATTGAATATGAATATGATCAATTAGCTTAATTTTGGTCTCGATTTCTTCCGGAACAAATTTATCTATGTTTAATTAAGTCATTAACTACCATGAAATTATAATTGAATATTAAATTCAAATAAAAGAAGCATATAAAATGTTTAATTAGTCAAATGTAAATTTTTCTCACTAATAATTAAAAATCTACAATATCGATGAAAATACTGAAGCAATGATAGTAATGTTACCAAAACGAAGTCCATGGAAATACTCATACATTCATACAGTATCGATATATCTAGGGATATGCATTATTGGTGTAAATATTGAACAATGAGTCACTGACATAGAGTCTATTGAGGCACTGATTACATTGATATTCATGTTTACTGCAACATTAAGACACGAACTCTATCAAAATATGGCTTTTTTCTAGTAGTGTGTTCCAGTGAACATTGGCGCTCGTGTGTCACTATGTCTTAACTACACTGAATCGATAACATCGGTAGTTAGTAATTTGAAACTGCACATCTCGTCAGTATGAGTTTGTCGATGATTAGTATACTGCAACCACACATCCCTATGAATAATTTGTGACAGAATATTTTAAACTATCGAATTTAAAGTTTCTGAAAGATCATTCTTCTTATTGATTTCGTTTTTCTATCAAGAAAAGGAACTTCATTTATTAGGAAAATCAATAGTGTGAGCGCTTATAAACATTTGGAACAAATATCTCAAAAAAAAAAACTTTTTAATTAACAGAAAAGTATTAATAAACATCCGTGAATTTAAGAATTAATCGATTAATTTCACATAAATATGATAGTTCAAAATTCCAATCATTGTTTCTTGTTTCTTAGATATCAACTTAATTTGTTTTCTCATATGTGTTTTGATCGACAATATTTAGCTATTGATAATTTATCATTAGAATTATCAATTGAACTTATATTAACGTAAGTTTACTTGAAAAAATAAAAAATATTTTATTTTAATTCAAGATTATACTTTTTTCTTCAGATGTACAAAAAGTGAAAATCTTCCAGCTGATTTACGTGCAGCATTTTGTCGTTTAATGGTTCATATGCATGTTAATCGTGATCCACAAGAAGAAGTAACACGTATTAAATATGCTCGATTATGGAATCAAGTTAAATCAGCTATTTCATTACATGAGTAAATTTTTCAATAATAAAAATCATAAATTTCTTTAGAAAGAATATTTTATTTAGGTATGATCAAACAATAAGTGGTTCACTTGAACCAACAGAAAAAAATGAAAATCGACCAAAATTTGAAGCAACTATGAAATTTGTTGAAGATTATCTTAAAACTGTTGTTGAACAACCAAATTCATTTTCTGATAGAGAACAAAATAAATTAACACATGAAGTAAAATAAAATCAAAAAGAATTTTTTATTTTTTTGAAAAGTATTTTCTTTTTCTTATTTTAAGGTTGTCAATTTAGCTCGTCGTTTAATATTTTTTGGTTTTTATAGTTTTGAAGATTTACTTAAATTAACTCAAACATTACTTGGAATTCTTGATACAAGTAAAGTTTTATCATCAAACATTCGTCATTCAAGTCCTGAACAAGGTTAAATTATTTTTAAAAGTTTTTATTATTAGAATTTCGTTGTTTTTTTTTGTGTTTTTAAATTTTATTTTTAGTTACAACCATCGTAGCAACTTCGAAAACATCAAAATATGATCATATGCTTCCAACAACTAGTCCATATAATGTTAGTGATGTTGTAACTGAACAACAAACAGATATACTTGACAATTTAGCTTATGAAACTAAAATGAATGTTATTGCTATCCTTGAATTTATTCTTGATATTCGTCTTGATTTTCGTATTTCACGTCTCATATCAATATTTAAACAAAAATATGATCGTCTTGGTATGTTAATTATTTTTTTATCTGAAAGCCGATCTACAATGAGTGTTGAAGTATATAGGATAAAAATTTGTACTCGCCGACTCTGACAGATCATGGCAAACATTACCATGGAAACGTCACAAATCATGACAGACGGTTGCAGGTCGTGATAGATACGTTAAAAACATATTTCAGCAATGACACATCACAGGCATGACAGGAGTATCTTAGTAAACACCCTGCAGTCGTCTCTTGCATCATAGACTTTGACAGGCGTTGTTGATATACGACCAAAGCCCGTGAATCTATTATATTTCGTTACCCTATATGAACTATTTCATTATTACATTTCTGAAGAAGGATAGTGAAGAAATCTATCCCAAAATAGATAGAATAAAATAATATCTCTGTGAATAGTAACAATAGTTAAATCGCATTTGACATTTTAAGCTTGTAGGAGTTATGCTAAGAATTTTTCAAATTCAATTTATTAATTTCTTTTTTTGAAATATTTAGAACCATCAGTCAATTCAATTAGTACAGATTTGCAAGCCTCGGATATTGAATGTATATTTGACTCTTATTTAACATCAATGATTGAACCAAATCTTGATTTGGATGATACAAAAGGAAAAACTTTTCTTAAAGTATTACTTAATTTAATTATGCATGATTATCAACCATTAGTATCACGTGCATTATCATTATTATTTCGTCATTTTAATCAACGTAAAGAAACATTACAACATTTAAATCAAGTACAATTACTTGTTAGTGAAACTGATATTAAAAATTATAAACAAATTAAATTAGATCTTGATCAATTAAGATTATTTGTTGAAAAATCTGAATTATGGGTTTATAAAAAAGGAAAAGATGGAATATTAACAGTATCTATTGGAAATGAAACTAATATTGATCAAGATGATAGAAAAGATGATGAATTTGAAATTAAGGTAATATTAAACTTATATCATCGTTCAGAGTTCGAAAACGAATTTAACAATAGTTTTAGAGATTAATTGAATTAAACTTAAAATAAAATGCTTAAAGTTTTCAACCAAGAAATAATATAGACATATATTTAATAAATCACTTATTAGAATGGTATCACAATTTATTAAGTTTATTCACAACTAGACCTCTTCAGGTTGATTCTGAGTTCGAAAGTTTTGAATCTGACGGACTCTAGCCGTTTAAGAAATGTGTAGGACACGTTAATCACAGAATATTAAAAAAACCGGAAAAAAATATCTCGTATCTTCAGGGCAACTATTCGATTCCGATTAGAAAATTTCATTGAGATTACCAAAGCACGTTTCAACCGGATCCGAATCCGAACATTTCGAACCCGACAGACTCTACTAACAACTGATGCGTTCTAATCAAATTTGTCATAGCAAATTCAGTATCTACGATTAGTCTAGATATTAGTGATGTTCCGAAAAATCGAATTGATATTTAACGCATTATATAATCATCGATGAATATTGTTGTTAATAAATAAATTTTGAATGATTAATTTTTTTTTTTCTTTTTTTTTTTTTTTTTAATTTTGTTAAAGAAATTAGCTACATCATCCGGTTTCAACGAAGCCGAATTCGATATAAGTGGTCCAAGTATCAGTGAAGAATCTGCATATCGATATACATCAATATTCCAGGTGAGTAGATAATCACAGCAAGCTTTTTTCTTCTTTTCTTCAGCTTTTAATATTACAAAATATGGAATAAGATATATGTGCTTATTTATTAATCTATTTCTTTCGGTTATCTAAGTCTTAAAGCACAAGAATATAAATATCTTTTAACCCATATCTCTCTGTATATCTCTATCTATTTTCCTAGGGTATACATAAATTCATTGACACGGTAATTGGGAAATACTTATATTTATACACATTTTAATACTATCATTATTATTATTATTCGATTATTTTGCACATTCATTCTTCTTCTTTGACTTTCACTGTTTTGTTATTCTGGGCCTGACTATGCTTTTTTAACATTTCCAAAAAAAAAAAGAACATGAAAACATGATTTAGTGCATGATTAAGAAGAACAAAAATAAATCAAAATTGGATCTGTTTTTTTTTTGTTTTCGCATGTTTCACTGTGTTGAAAGATAAAAAAGATATGTGAATTCTTTCTTATACACTTCAATAAGCATGTTTTTTTTAATTATTAATTAGCTTGCAAAACTAATGTGATTTGTTTGAATTTAGAAAAAACAAAAATCATTTATTTATGATTTAAATATATATATATTATCTATTGAATATTTAGATCCTTCGTCGAATGATGAAATTATGTGTTGTTGAGGGTGCTGATGAAAATTTATATGCTCGAGAAAATGAACAACGTTTATTAAGAAATATGGATGTACATGTTGTTGTACTTGATTTATTAAGAATTCCATATGATAAAGTAAATAATAAATTTATGATTTAATTTATTTTTTGTTTTTCATAATGAAAAAATTTCATAGGCTGAAGATACTCGAATGAATCATATTATGAAATTAGCACATAATCTTTTACAATATTTTTGTTTTAATAATCCAACAAATCAAGCAAAATTATATGAATTATATTTTAATGATTATCAACAAATATCTGAAGTAAATAAAAAAAAACTTAAAATTTCAAATTTTTTATCGTTTTTATATTTTATTTTGTTTAGGAAGAAGAAGTTGAAACATGTTGTTATATATTTATGAATAATGTTCAATTATGTAAAACAATAACTGAAAAACATGTTCAACATTTTGTTCATTTAATTGAATTACATGGTAGAAAAGTAATATATATAAAATTTTTACAAACAATTGTTAAAGCTGAAAATCAATATATTAAAAATTGTCAAGATATTGTTATGTCAGAAGTATGAATCAGTCAAAAAAAAAATTGAATTTTTAAATATGAATATTAACTTCATATATGTTTTGTTTTTAGTTGGTTAGTTCCGATGAAGTATTAATGTTTTATGAAAAAGGAAATTTATCAGATCTTGTTGAACGTATGCAATCCGAACATGAACGTTCAGATCCAAATTCATTATTAAATTATCATGTACAACTTGTACATTTATTAGCAATGTGTACTGAAGGAAAAAATGCATCAACAGAAATCAAATGTCATTCATTAATTGGTTTAGATGATATTGTTTTAATTGTTACACATCCTGATTGTACACCTGAAGTTTGTATTCAAAAGAATTGTTCTTTGTTTTTAATATTGTAATGAATTTTTTGTTTTTTAGGTTAAAACTGCATATATTACATTTTTAACTCATTGTTATATTGATACAGAAGTTGAAATGAAAGAAATTTATAATAGTCAACATATTTATACTTTAATTGAAAATTCATTTTGTCCAGATATTGAAAAAGTAAATTGAATTTTTTAAAATAAGAATATTCAAATATTTTTAGAATAATTATTGAAATGAAAATATACACAGAATAGATTCAGTAGTATATAACAGCTGTATGAGATAGAGTATGAATGGAAACAGATGTATGTTATAAAAAAAAATATTAAATGAAATTTATTGGTTTATTTTAATCAATGAATGACCATGCAGCAGATTGAATTAGGATAATTTTGACCTTAGTCGACACCATATTTTACAATATGGTTATGTCGATGAAATAATTTTCAATGTTATTCTTCAGTAAAATAACATAAGATGTAAAATAAATTATCATCTGTAGATGAAGATTTCATTGAAAGTCTTATTTTGCCAACAAAGAAAAAATAAAACCGCATATATTCAACTTGTCGAAGATTGTTCCTCTAATAGTGTTTTCTTGAAACACTTTGATCTTTTTTTTATAACATTTAACATCAAAAGAAATCATTTTTTTTTTCGATATATTTACTGTTCACATAAAAAACTTTCTATGTTCAAAAGTATACCATTGGAATAATATTGGAAGATTAATTTATATAATCAGATTAACATTAGTACTGACTACAATTAGATTTTGATATATTGCTTCATTATCAATACAAAAACTTATGAGTGCGACCTCATGAGAAGTTAAAGTGTGGAACTCACAAACGCTAATTTGTTATAAAGTTATGATATATTGGTAGAGGCGATAGAATAATTTATTTAAAAAAACATCAAATAAATGAAAAAAATTAGAATTATAACAATTTTTATAGTTGATATTTGTGTTCCGAAATTTTATCATTTCGAAAATGTTTGCATGTAGAATAACTATTCTATCAATTTCTTAGATTCATTGAACATCATTATACTGAAAAAACTTCTTTATACAGTCAGACTACAGCTTCAATACATAAATTTTTTTCTTCTAATAATAATATATATGATACAATTGTTGGAGTCTAGAGGAAGAACCCACAAAAACCTTGATTTAAACTTACATCTATTATTTTCTTCAAAAATATATGTGAGTTTCACAAAGTGAAAATATCTTTCTTTTTGTATTTTAGCTAATAACCAAAATAGTTGAACGTCGTAATTTAGAAAAATATATATTAGACACTGTAACTGATTTAATCAATCAATTTTTCAATTCACCATTTTTTGAACAAGCATCAGCACCACAGGTAAAGAAAACTCACTAAATTTCTAAATTATTCAATAAATCTTTTTTTTGGAATAATTCATTTCTAACAATAAAAATGTAAAATATTTTTATCATATCAAGAGTGATGGCAAGGTGAGACTTGCTCTTAGAATGAGTATATGATAGATGATGGTCGATCACTAGCGGTCGCACTATCTATAATAATTGCTATATGGGACATACTTGGTTTATATGAGAAGAAAATTAACACTTTGTAAAAGAAAAAAAATAACTATGCATGTTTATTATTCATTGCATGTTTTCTCTTTGTTTTTTCATATTTTGCTCTCTTCTTGTAGCTTATAGATAAAGATGAAACAAAGGTAAGAATATCGGGATGATTCTTAAAATAGCAATCTGTATGACATTATTGCCCCAAGAGCTTAAATCTATCATTTGTTTTGGCGATAGTCTAAAATTTGCGCATCCTGTATCGCTGCACGTATGAATTGTACACTTTCTTCTTCTGTTTTCAATGATTCAAGTTTTTTATATATGCATTTATTTCTTTTTTTTTTAAATAAAATTTTCTTTTTTAAATTTTAGCATCGCAACACAATACTTATATCATTATATAGTCATTTAGCTCGATTATTATGTGTACAATGGTTAACAACATCAGAACGTGAACGTGTTGATAGATGTATTCATATTTTATCATTAATTGGTAAAAGACGATAAAAAAAAATAGTTCATGAAATTTTAGTTATTTTTCTTTTGTTTTTTTTTATTATTGAAATTTTAGCTGATCGTCGTGGTCTTAGTCATTTTTTACGTTCCAATAGTTCATCAACTGATATACCAACTCGTTCACGACGTACAAGTCGTAGTGCAACATCTGACCGAATGCATAGTATTGAACCTGCATATAGTACATTACAAAGACATGATCATTTAGAAGATGTAGAACATAAACGTGTTATTGATAATTTTGTGGTAATAAAAAAGAAATTTTAAAATTTCGAAAGTAAAAAAGAAAAAGTCAAATAAATTTATTTATTTTATAGGATTTTCTTTCTCAAGTTAGTGTTAGACTTAATCCACTTATTCAAGCTGAAGTTAGTGTACTGGTAGATGTTATTCGAGCACCACATGCACTCTTTCCTGAAACACATGAATCGCGTTTTAAATTTCTTGGTGGAACATTTGTACACAAGTATGTAATATCACTCTCTTATCAACACTGATTTTGATTATAAAAATTTCAAATACAAACATTCATAAGTATATTTTAAATCACTATAAATCCATCTAAAACATTCTTTAGACTAATAAATCATACAACAATGATGTTAATAAAATATAATGAAAAACAATTGAGTTTTCATGTACTCAATCTTTTAACCGATTATGCTCGTACAATGCAGCATAAACAGATTCTTCATTGGGAATCTAATCGTGAGGTAGAATAAGATAATGTTTTGATTTGATTTCAATATGACAAAAAAAAAAGCAGTGATCTTTTGTGGAATAAAATAGTAGTTTGATTGATCAAACATTGTTGCTACTGCTATATTGTTTGAGATGCAAAGCTATACTTCAATGATTTTTTTTTTCACTGTTTTGCCTATTTGCTTCTTTTTCCGCGGTTTTGTGCCATTTAGATTAATACAGCATGCCAAATATTTGCTGACACAAGCCGAGGAAAGCCTATGTTTGCGCATAATGCATGCACTCAAATCAATGGTCAAAAACAATTATGAACATGATTCAAGGGTATTAAAGCTTAGCTTATAGCTTTTTTTTTTTTATTGTTCAATATGAAAAAAAAAATATATGTATATATTTTTTTTTTATTATTAAACATGTTTATTTTTCTTTAGGGACAAAATTTAAGATTGAAATTATTAAGGAGATATTTTTCTGATGATAAACAATATTTAAAATCACTTCATCAACCATTAAAAGGTTTCTTAAAAAAAAACTGAATAATAATCATCGATTCTTTTTGTTTTTGTTATTTAATTATTTTAGAAGAAGATGCTCTTGAAAGATTAAGAATAACACAAAATGAATTAAATACACAAGGAGCTAGTGATCTTGTTGTAGAATTATTTATGAGTGAATCACCAATAAATATACTTGAAGAAAGTGTTAATTTAGCTATAGCATTATTAGAAGGTGGAAATACAGAAGTTCAGGTTAGATTTTCTTTTTATATTTTATAAATTTAATCAAATGACAAAAGAAAAAATAAATAAATATTTATAGACAAGTATTTTTCGTCATTTACAAGGATGCGAAACAGCATCAGAAAAATTCTTTCAAGTTTTCTATGATAAAATGTGTATTGCTCAAAAAACATTAAAAAGTATGCCATCAACAACACCTGATATGGACCAACATCATGATGAATTTGATGATTTAATATTTACATCAAAATCTGGTACAGCATCACCTATAATAAGTCCACCAGTTATTGATCGACAACAACCAATTATGTCATTTGTAGAAAATTTTAATTATGATCAACAATCAGCTATTATTTCAACTGTTAATTCATTAGAACAAGGTTAGTTGTTTTCTTTTTTTATTTATACATTATAAAATCAATTGAAATTTTCAATGATTTCAGATGTTATTTCAATTCCTCAATCACAAGAACAACCACAAGCATTAATTGTGACATCAACAACTTATCAAGAACCAACTCTAGCAGAACAGACACCAAATTCAGCAGCATCATCATTTGATATTTTTGATTATCCGTAAGAATTTCTTGTGAGAGAGACGTTATAGAACTATAAAAAAGAAATTTCTTCATACAAATTTCATGCATAGGAAATTGAGATTAAATCGATGATATTAAAATTTAACAATTAAAATATTTAATTTATTTAGCTCTCAAAATCGTCGTTATAAACTTCCATTTGAAATTCGTATAATGCAACCAATATTACGTTTTTTACAATTACTCTGTGAAAATCATAATCCTGAATTTCAGGTTTATATTTTTTTTTTCTTATTTCTTATTCTTATTATTTTTTTTTTCTTTTTATTTATCAGAATTATCTTCGATTACAAAATCATAATAAAACAAATTATAATCTTGTTTGTGAAACATTAAAATTTCTTGATGCTATTTGTGGTTCACAAACTGGTTTACTTGGTCTATTAGGAAATTATATTAATGAAGATAATGTTGAATTAATTAATCAAGCATTAAATACATTAACTGAATATTGTCAAGGACCATGTCGAGATAATCAAGATGCTATTGTTAATCACGAATCCAATGGTATTGATATAATTATTGCTATTGTTTTAAATGATATAACACCATTAAATCAAAAAAATTATGATCTTGTACTTGAATTAAAAGTAAATTCAATTTTTCGATTAATCTGTTTTTTTTTGTTTATAAATATTGATTTTTATTCTTATAGGATAATGCATCAAAATTACTTTTAGCTGTTATGGAAAGTCGAGATGATAGTACAAATGCAGAACGTATTCTTCGAAATATTGTACCTGTTTCACAATTAGTAATGCAAAAAATATTTTTAATAAGAAGAAAAAAAAAAGGAAATTCTTATTTTTTTTCTTTTAGCTTGATGTTGGTTGTGAAATTTATGCTCGTGGTAAACAACAAGAAATAGAAGAAAAATGTGCACAAGAAACTGAAAGTGATGAACTAGTACATGATGAAGAAGCAAATGAAGGTTCCGATAATGTTGCTCAAAGTGTTGGTCATAATATATATATTCTTGCATATCAGGTATATATCTTAATAAAATTATTAGTTTGATTGTAGTCGCAAAAAAGTTTCGCTATCAGGTAATAAATAGTACCTAAACTTTAATCTTTTAGTCTCATAGTTTGATGATAAATAGAGTATGTTGAACTCTGATCGCAAGGACTAATTGGGACTTGATCGGCCTTTGTACGGGAAGGGAGTGCTAGAAGATCGACATAGAAAACAAATCTCATAACGTAAGGATCCTCATTCGACAGCTCAGTACTGCCTCTATCACTGATAAAAATTTCATGTCAAATAGTTTTTGATTTGTCTAATTTATGACGTATTCTCTGCATAAACTCCACATGAGAGTTGATGGAAATCGTCGAAAACTGACCGATATCTTCGACTAATGTTAACTATTTACCCTGAAATTGTCTCCAATAAGTGCCCTGCTCTAATCAAGTTTTCCTTAAAAATTTCACGATTGCAATCATCAATGAAAAAGAGATTCCTGCTGAGACCGTCTCAGACAATGGAGGCTTTCCCACGCCTCAAGATCACAACAAATTGAAGCACCCTATCTGTGAGAAAATATAGACATACGAATCTTTATTTGTTAAGAAGAATTTTCATTATAAATTCTATGCATTAAGACCTATCGATCTCGGATTGCTGCTTGCGATTAGGATTTACCGAACTCTATTTCTAGACAAAAGAATTCAAATTTCTATACTTTTTATCCGGTAGCCGAACTTCTTACGACTACTGTATTAGAAGTATACAGGTATTTGTTATTTATTTGATATCTTTGTGTTTTCATGTTGTACGACAAATGGAAAAGTATTCTCAGGTACACACGAAAAAAAAAAAAAATTTAAAAAAACAATACCGAGAACATATAGAAAGGATTTTATTTTGTTTTCTATATACATACATATCTTGCTACTCCTCCAGCTTATTCAGGGATAATGGGAAAGTTATTGAATTAAGCAAACATGTGATGAATTATTGAAATATTTTATTATTTGATTTTTTCGTTATATGTAATTTTTAGCTTGCTCGTCATAATCGTGAACTTGAAGTTTTAATGAAACATCGAATGTTAAATGATGAAGCATTATCATATTATCATAAACATACAGCTGAAATTGAAATAATTCGACATGATCGATCTATTGAACCAAGTATGTATTTATTAATATTTCTTTTTGTTTTCTTTTGTTAAATTTAATATCGAATTAATAAATTAATTTTTTTTCTTTCCTTATAGTTGTCTTTCCTGTTCCACAATTATGTGAATTTTTAACTGTTGAAAAAAAACAAAAAGTCTTTCTAACATGTGAACAAGATGAACAAAGTTCAAAAGTAAAAGATTTTTTTGAAAAATTTCCTGAAATATTCGAAGAAATGAAATGGCAAAGAAAATTACGTCATCAACCAACATTATATTGGTTTTCATCACATATGTCTTTATGGAGTGATATATCATTTAATTTTGCTGTTTTAATTAATATTCTTGTCGCGGTTTTTTATCCATTTAATAAAGGTCTTAAAGGTATAAGAAATTATTTAATGAATGAAATAAAAATATTTTTTATGTTTATGTGTGTTGTTTTTCTTTATAACAGATCTTGATCCACGTGCATCAGCAGCTATATGGAGTGCATTATTTATTACATTAATTGCTATTCTAATAAAACCAAATGTAGCATCAATGCGAATGTTTTTTGTTGCTGGAATTTTACGTTCGATTTATTCAGTGGGTCTTGGACCAACTTTATGGTTAATGGGAGCAATACAAGTAGAATTTATTGATTTATTCTATTAAGAATTTTAATAAAGTTTTTTTTTTTTTTTTTATTATAATTTTAGGTTTTAAATAAAGGTGTATTTTTAGTTAGTTTCATGGGTAATAATGGAACATTTTCAAAATCAAGATATGAAAATTTAACAAATTTTGAACTTGTTTATCATGTCGGATATTTACTACTTTGTGTATTTGGTCTTTGTCTTCATGAATTCTTCTATAGTTTATTAGTAAGTTGAATATTTATATATATAGAACATGATTGGTGTTAGTGTTAGTAGCTTAATTGTAAATTTGTTTCGTTGTTTTATGTTGTTTATGAATAGAAAATTAGATTTAAAGATTAGATTTAAAAGAAAAAGATTTTTTATCCAAGAGATAAACATAATTCAATTTTTGATTATCAGACAAATTATGTCATAGATTTCTAATAACTGTTCTTAGTGTCCCTTAACAAAAATTCTTGGTTAATGATGAAATAAGTCAAGATCATGTACAAATACATAATGTCAATTCAGACAATTTTAAACTAAATTTGTCTAACCGATAATGCAAAAATTTTAGCACAAAATATTCAATCATTATTCCGTCATTTTAAGACAGCTAATTACAGCCTGAGAGCATTTAGTTAAAATCAGACTTTTTCTCTCTGTCTGGAGATGTGTTCAGAAATCTTTTCCAAAGTAAAATTAGAAGGTCGTGGCAAATCTCAAATTGTTACTAACTTTTACTAAATCTTTGGTTACTGATCTTTGACAAAAATAGCCTATAACAAATAACAGAAGTTAGAGATAAAAAACGAAACTTATTATTTCGGTGCTAGTAGTATTTTCTCAGTTACGCTGACAGCAACTATTCGTTCCAACCCAATGACGTACTCTCACGACTACCTTCAATCTTAGGCCCATCCTCATATTGACCTTCATTATATATATATATTAGTTCAAATTGGTAAAAATTTTGAAGAATTAAAATTTATAATAATTTCGATATGTAGACTTTAAAATTAGTACCAATATTAGATTTGTCACTCCATGCAAGATTGCTACGACCGGATCTCAGAAGTCATTTTGTTTTTTCGTCTATATCGATTTTACTTAACCTATTATTTCAAATCTCAAATTCTGCTAGGAGCAATAAATATTCGATTTATGAACATTGTTTCATGCTAGTAATCATCTGCATCTAACTATTGCTAATAAATTCTTTATTGAACAAAGGAACAATACGTATAGATCTTCTCCTTAAAGTTAACGATGAAACTCATATTTAATAGCTACTTTATCCTTTTTATTTTGAGGTATATTCTTCTTCAGCTTATGAAAAATAACTTGTGTTCTATATTCCGAGAATAAGAAAAAGTCATACTAGAAACACATTTACAAAAGAAAAAACGAAAGTTTCTCTTGGATTCAATATCTTCTTAAATTTAATCTATTTATTTGATGTTGTATTGTATTAATTATCTTAGTTACTCGATGTTGTCTATCGTGAAGATACTCTATGGAATGTAATTCAATGTGTTGTACGCAATGCTAAATCAGTTATATTAACAGCTGTATTTGCTGTTATAATCATATATTTATTTGCTATATGTGGTTATTTATTTATCCAAGATGATTTCCTTATGGAAGTTAATAGCAAACCACTTGCAATTGCACATGAAAATGATACAAATTTTTCAAGTAAGTTACATTGAAGAAGAAGAATTCTTTAGGTTTTTTTCCTCATTGCTTTTCATGTCTTTTTGAATTTTAATGAAAAGAAAATAATAAAAAACAAAAAAAGAATGAAATTGTGAAAGTTAATTTATTTTGTTTCCAGTTACTTGATATGATTTTTCGAGATGCGACTCTATTGCAAGTAACACAATCAGTAACACGAAATGGAAAATCTATTATGTTAACAATGATGCTTGCACTTATACTTATTTATCTTTTTTCTCTTATGGGTTTTATTTTTTTTCGTGATGATTTTTTAACAAATATTCAAGCAAGATTATATTCATCATATTCTCAACATCGATATCGACGTTCAAATATTAATCAGAAAACACTGACATTGACGCGTATGTCAATTTGTCGTTGTTAGTGTTTCTTGTTTATGTTATTATTATTATTATTATTATTATTAAGAAAAAATTTAATCAAATATGTTATTTATTTGTTGTTTGTTTTTTTTTAGCTACAACCATTCCAAGTATTATTAATAATGAATATTGTACCAAAGATAATTGTACCAATGATACATTAGCCAGTCATATTCGTCATGCTAGTCAAGCATCAAATGTATTGTCAGAAGAAGTAGCATTAGATGAAGAAGTTGAACGGTCTTGTGACACATTATTTATGTGTATTGTAACAACACTAAACAAAGGTTTAAGAAATGGTGGTGGTATTGGTGATGTTTTAAGGCAGCCGTCTAGTCAAGTGAGTTTAGAGAGAAAATATTGTTTTTTTTTTCTTTAGTTATTCATTTTTTGGAAAAATAATACAAAATTCTCCGCGTATTGAAATTTGGTTTTAATAATGTGAGAAAATGTATAAATATTTTATTATTAAATCAAACAATAGAATATTACTTATGATATCTTTGAATGAAACTAAAGCAGAGCAGTAAGAATCTAGAAATGACTTGACATAACTATCACTACTGAGGTATATCAAGCAATAATTAAGATCACTATCTCTCAAAAATTGATCTTGAACCAAGCACATTCAAATTGCATGAAATTTTCCGGATATGTATTGGGACTGTATCGGAGAGGCTATGGTAAAATTTTTAGCTATATGCCATGACGTTTTCGGTAGATATTCAACAAATAAGAGTCAAAAATAGTTCATTGGACAACCGGAAATTCTCTGTGAGTCTTCATTCTATATACATATTCTTTTTTTTGTTTCAAAGAGCATGTCAGGATGCAGAGCATAACAGAACCCTTTAAATTCTTTTTAAGCGGAGAAAAGTTCAATGTCTGGAAAAACTTTTAAAAAAATGGAGTGTTATGAACTTATGAAAAATTCTTTGTGTTTTTTTTTTCTATTTTCTTTAAAGGAACCTCTATACTTCTTCCGTGTCATTTATGATATGATGTTCTTCTTCATTGTTATAATTATAACTCTAAATTTAATTTTTGGTGTTATTATTGATAATTTTGCTGATTTACGTACAGAAAAACAACGAAATGATGAAATTTTGCGTAATACATGTTTTATTTGTGGTAAACATAGATAAATTTCTTTAAAATTATTCAAATAAAAATTTTCTATAGGACTTGATCGTAAATCATTTGATAATAAACATGTTACATTTGAAGATCATATTCGTAAAGTTCATAATATGTGGAATTATGTTTATTTTATGGTATTAATTAATGTTAAAGATTCAACAGAATATACTGGACCAGAAAGTTATGTACATGAAATGATTGAAGTACGTTTTTTTTTTCTCATTTTTCTTTTTGATTATTAATTAAAAACAAAAGTTCTAATCGAAATTTTTACTATTTCTGTTAGCAACGAAATCTTGATTGGTTTCCACGAATGCGTACAAGTAGTTTAGATATTCAAGAAGATAAAAATAAAGAAGATCAAGATAGTCGAATATTAAAAATTCAAATGGAAGATGCTAATAAAGCTATAAAATCATTAACTATGGAATTATCTGAATTACAAAAATTAGTAAAAATCGAAAATAAAATCTTTTTTATTTTTTTGTTTATTGATAAATTTATTTTTTTTGTTTTAAAGGTTACAGAATCTCGAGCACAAAAGCATCGAATGAATTTTCTTCAAAATCCATCCTTACCAGCACCATTAAACACATAAATACCAAATATGTTAATCTTGTATCAAAAAATAAAAATAAAAAATAAAAACTCTTTTTTTTTTGTCATATTTATTGTTAAATATATTTGCTTCTCGTTTTTAAATAATAATACTCAATTTATGTTTCTTTTTTCTTTTCCTTTTTTTTTCTGTGTTTACATAAATTTTTGTTCTTGCGAAAGACACTATTTAATTGCGAGAAGCAAAAGAAAAAAAATTCTATTCAATTCTAATCGTTTGTTTTTTGTTCGCCTTGTGTGTGTGAATGTTGTATTTTTAGACAAAAGAAATAAAAAAAATATGTGTGAACGTAAAGTTAGGTGTTCTTTCTTTTTTTTAAACAAAATTGGACAAAGATTGTCTATCGAAATGATGAGTCAATTAAGAAAACACATAGTCATTTCTGTTTTTTTGTTTCTATTATTCATCTCTTTATCGAAGAAATGAAATGAACAAGTTTGGTAAGTAAATTTAGTATTGATCATTTACGTCGATTTTTTTATATGATGATGATCAACATGTTTTGATCAGTTGAAAATCTGCAAGACCTTCAAAGTGATTGTTCATTTATTCGACAAAGTTCTAATAACATGAACTAGACATACAATGGTGGCATCGGTCATTTGTGTAGGATGCCTTTTCAGTCATCAACGTTAAGACCAGTCAAGTAGGTAAAATGTCTGAAAACCCTACGGCGAGAAAATTTCTTTTTTAATTAATGCGACGGATTCCTAGTAAAGGAATTGACGAGGGAATATTCCTGGATGTCTGCGTCCTGTTGACTTGGTATTTCGCCCATAAATAGGCATTCGTGAGCTATGAAAAATGTCCAAAGGCTTTGCGTCCATGAGCACTTCTTGCCGAGTTTTGAATTGTTTGAGTATTTTCCATGTATATGAAAGTGTAATGGCAAATGCTTTTTGGTCACTATGAAAAAGTAGACGACTGGAAATCTTTTTGAGAATGAACTTAATGATAACTACATTATACTAAACTTTGCTACGTTTTTTTCTTGGGCACCATTTCCATTAGAACATAAATTGTTCATCTTCATGATTTTCATATGACGCCAAGGGTACACTATTCAGCAGTACAATAAATGCTTGTATTCCGTAAGAGAGTCATGATGAAATTTCAAGAAATTTTGAGATTTATCATCTACGAATTTCTTATGTATAATCTAGTTATCATTAAGTTCACTCTCAAAAAGATTTACGATCTCCTACCTTGTAATAGTGACCAAAAAACATTTGCCAATATTTTCATGTGCATGGAAAATACTCGCACAATTCAAAACTGGACAAAGAATGCTCATGAGCACAAAACCTTTGAAGGTTTTACATAGCTCACCAAGGCCTAATTATGGGTAAAGTGTCAGTTCAAAGGGAGGTGGACACCTGGAAATATTTCCTCATGAGTGGTGGCAAAAGAAACCGAACTTCACCATTTCTCTATTGTTGAATATTTCGGCTGGTGCAGTGCTCAACCATAGAATGATGTGACTAATGGACGATGGATCGGTGTCTCTCCATCAGTGTTATATCTCTAATATGAACTGACTTAAGTGCAGTGTCGGCAACTGAAGATAGCGATTCTCATTATACATTTTTTTTAATCGGAATAGAGCCTTGATTTCAAGATTTAATTTTATTTTTATCGTTTTTTCAAAAATAAGAAATAGAAATTCTATGCCTTTTAAAGAAAAATTTATTTTTTGTGTTAAAAAACCAGTGTATATGGACTTAATAAGATAATCTAATTGTAACAATAACAGTTATCTCTTCGCTGTATTTTCTCAATAATCAAAGTTTTCTTCTGTATTCTATTAAACTTGAATCTTTTTAAATAAATGAATCGATTCTGTTTAAAACTGATTTACATGTTAGTATTTATTAAAAATGTGCCATTATTAGTATGAAACTATCTAATACATATTTTATTCACTAATTATTGTTCATGACAAAACTCTATGATTCAAATTGTGTAAACTTACTGGAAGTTTTCATTCGTGTTAAAAATCTGATTTTATTTTCAAAAATTTAATCACTTATGAAAAAGAAACATGATGAAAATTTTTATACATAAGAAAGTTCGAAATTAATTTAAACTGGAATTTTGAGAAATTAAACTCTTGTGCTTTTAATCAATTTCTCTTCAATTTTTTCTTTCTATTGTGTAATGAACAAATTCTATGTATCATATTTTTTAAGATCATTCTAGATACTTTAATTTCTAACAAAGTTTGAACGTATCAACGTCTTTGAATATATTCTTCAAACTTATTCTAAATGAAATATTATCTCTTATTATACATAGGTTTATATTTCCTATATCAAACAGAATCAACCATAGGTCCCGGTGATCGTAAATTTTCATCACGAACTTCTGAAAACATTGTTCATTCTTCATCTTCTTCTGATCATTCTAAATCATCTGTACGCTCTTCTACAATACCAAAAGAATCCTTTCCACCATCTGAAATACATGTTTTACAACGTAATTTATTACAAGAAAATATCAATCCTAAAATAATTCTTGAAAATTATCAATCATATTGTTATACTTGTGTTAATACTCGACAATTTACTTATCCAACTTTAATTTTTATAACTCCATGGAATAATCATGGTTATGATCTTGTAAAAATTTTTACACAAAAATTTGATTATATTTCTCCAGTTTGGTTTAGTATAAAACGAATAGATATTGAAAAATATTCAATTGAAGGTATACATGATATTGATATAAAATGGATTGAAACATTAAAAGAAAAATATCCTGATATACGTATTGTACCTCGAGTTATATTTGAAGAATGGTCTGTTGATAATATTCATGTATTATTTCAATCTGAAGATGAAAAACAACAATTATCATTAACATTGAAAAATTTTCTTATTGAATATAATCATTTATTTGATGGTTATGTTCTTGAATTATTTGCACAATTTAGTAGTTCATCAAAAGCAGATCTTCATCATATTATTATTGATATTGCTGAACGTATACATGAAATAGATAATAATACAACAAAGAAAAAAGAAGTTATTTTAACTGTACCACCATTGGAAGAGTATTTTGATAATTATGATTTTCAAACATTATCTGAACATTTAGATGGATTTATTGTTATGACATATGATTTCCCAAACAAAGAAATAGGACCAGTTTCTCCATTGGGTATGTATTTTAGATAAAAATTTATAAGTCAAGTTTTCTTTTCTAGTAAAGTAAGACTATATAAAGAATTGAAAAACAAAATAGTAGTAAAATTTTATAGCTGAATTCTCAATTATTCAATTGATACAACTACGTATTCGAGTACTCGATGAAACTGAATTCGATCATGAATACAAGCGGCTGACATAAGACGTCTTCAATGTAGAGTCCGACAGAACAATCCTAAATTCCGAAAAATTCTGTTTGTCCTGAAAAGTTCTCGAGTTGAGATAATTGTGACTGGAATAATTCCAAAAAATTTCGTGACAATATAGAAAAATCCAATGTTCAGAATGTTTTTAATTCTTATATTAAAACGTATCGTACACTTTAAACTTTTTATTTCTAAGAAATATCTTAATATTTAAATAAAGAACCAGACCGACATTCAAGCAAAGCCAAAGCAGAAAAAGCGACTGACTATACGAGTTTCAAATAATGTCAGAACGCAATCCTATACAACTTTTACTATTTCTAAATCATTGACTTCTGTGCACTCGTTACATTTTCATGATCTTGGCAAAAATATTTCCTCATTTCGAAATGATGATTAGATGTGCAGAATGAGTGACTGACTTAATTCGTGATTAATGCGTCAAGAAGAAAAAGAATTTGTCATAACACCTAGATGAGTGAAAAGCAATAAGTTCATTACTGTACTTTGTGCAGTCAGCTGCTGTTCAATCAACGAGATTCGAGACATGAAAAAGTGTGTCTCGTAGGACTCTAGGGTTATACCCTAAGTTTAAAAAAAAATATTATTTCAAATAAAAATAATTTTTATTATTTAATAGAATGGATAAAGGAAATCATGAATAGATTCCTAACATCAGAAGTTCGTAGTTCCATCAAAATATTTCTTAGTCTAAATTTTTATGGTTATCGTTATGATCGTATTATTCCAACACCACCAAAAGATCAACGACAATATCATATAAAATCTATTCTTGGTCAAGATTATATTGAATTTCTTAAACAATATTATACAACATCAGTGATTATTTTCGATAATCGTGCACATGAACATATTACTCTTGTATATGATTATTCTATGAATGATCATCATGAACAAGAAACATCTAAACCAATTATAATTATATTTTATCCAAGTTTAATATCAATTTATGATCGATTACAATTAGCAACAAAACTTCATGTGGGAGCAGCTATTTGGGATGGTGGTCAAGGACTTGATTATTTCTTTGATTTATTTTAATTAAAATTTAAGTTGTTTTTCTTTTTTTGTCTTTCTATTTTTACTATAGATTTTAGTATTTAATGAAAAAAAAAAAATAGATGAATTTAATGAAATAATTTATTTGAAATTTTTCTCTTGATGATTTATGAGTTACCTTTTCTACAGAAAGATTTATCACTACTGAATTTCATTTTTTTTTATTCTTTTAGAGATAATTTATCAGTACAGGGTTAAACTCCCATGTCAACATCAGTTATTTGACGTATACAGATAGATAAAAAAAACAAAAAAAGAACGTTTTTTTGCTCGACACCTACTCAAAGGTGACATTCTTTTACTTTTTTAACTATGTCTACGATCTCATTTCATTCTATATGAGACTATTCCATATATTCACGTATAGTCATAAAATAAATTTCGACATATAGAATCATATTGGCAAAAGATTCAATAAGTGAATACCCTTTGACTCATATAAAAAAGAAAAAAAAAACATTTCCTTTAGCATCGATATCACTTGTTAATAAGTGAAATAACATTGATGCTATAAAATGTAACATTTAGTCTCATATGACCTTAAAATATCCTGACCCAAGTTTGACATACTAATCAACATTTAACTTTATCGACCAAAATAAAAAATATTCTGTATAAACAACTCTATAGAGAATACTAGGATAGATAGTATAACCTGTTATCAAAGAGAAAAGAGTTGCGATTAGATTTTTTTAAAAATTTTCTGTCATTTTTTGACAAAACAAAAATCGAAAAACATCATTTTTCGTTGTCTAATTATTAAGGTAAACCTTGTCTTCTAAATCTACGCATCGTATGACTTTTTAAATAACTGATTTTTTTTTCTGTTTAAAATTAACTAAACAAATCAACTGTTTTTTTTTTCTTTGATCATTATTGACAAATCCTTAGACTTTCGTCTAATGCAATATTCTTTTGACAACAATTTATTGATAAACTTTTTTTTTTTACGAGACAATGGCACAAAAAACAAAATAACGTTTGATGCAATTACAACAAATCGTGTTATTATTCCTACACATGAAATTCTTTAAATATTTCAATTTGCTCGTATTATTCTAAATATCTATCATTTAACTTGATTATATTTAGATCTGACAGTCAAGATAAAGAATTTTATTTTCTTTTTGATATCTTGCATATATATTCAAAAAGAAAAACATTAAAATAATAATAAATCACCGTCGATGACGACCAAAACGTGTTGATGGATTATAATGTTTTAAATTGGGTCTCCATCCTTGATTAAAAGCTTTTTCAAGAATATCCATTATTGCTTCTCGAGTATGCGGTGATATTGTATTTGATTCTCCAGATCGAGTAAATCTTTGTTGGTCATGATATTTTTTTTCTTCATAAGAATCAAAAGATAAATTACCATCATCAATATCATTATCATTGTCATTCTCATTTAACATATTCGGTAGTTGTGATTGGAAGTCTTTTAATTTTTAAATTAAAAAAAAAAAAGGTTATTGAAAAGCAAAAAAAATTATATGTTTTTATTTTTACCTTCATCTTCATTTAAGGTTAGTCGTGTATTAGTATCGTCATTTAATTCATCATAATATAATGCTCGACCAGATATTAGTATTATCAAAGGGAAAAATATAAATATCATTTGAAATGTAAAATAACGATTCATGGTTTCTGTAATTAAAATAAAATCTAAAAAAAAAAAATTCTTGAGAATTTATATGATAAAACAAATGATATTTATATCAGAGAAATATTCACATACGTTTCAAAGGGAAATATTCGTTGAATCATGAAAAAAAAACAATGACAAATGATAACGTTACCTGCGAACCAATATAATAGGAGAAAAGAAAATATACAGAACAGAAGAATATAAATACATCATAATCAGTAAAAGAAAGAAGATAATGTAGCACAATATGGGAAAAACCCATATTGATTTTAGCATGCAAATCAGTTCAATAGATTTTTTTTTTTATCCGTGTCAGATCATTAGTCACGATTCGAAGTCTGACCAATGATCGACATGTTAAATCAATTGATCCAGAGGATCAGATAGAACATTTATTTGTCAGTTTCTCTTAGAAATTTATGAAGCAATATAGAGTATTGCTGATCAATAATATTGCAAGTTAAAAAATAAAGAACTTCTTCTAATCTTCTTAAAATATAGATATTAAAAACTAGAGACTAGATTTACAAATTCATATCTTTGCTTTATATCAATACTGAATTGATCTTACTGAAAAAAGAAAAAAAAAATAACTATTTACTTCCAATTCTTTTTTCTTATTGGATACCTGTATTGCAGTCTTTATGAGATTAGAATTTAGTAATACATAATAGAAAAGAAAAGTGCCCTATTACGAAATTTATAACGTCGAGGACTCCATCATTCGATGACGATTTGATAAAATACGAAAAAAAAAACGAATGAGTTATAAAGAGAAAGTCGTCGAAAAAATGAAAATTGATGCAATTATTATTAACGCAAAGATTTTAGTAAAGTAAAGCTTGAGAAATAATCCCTTTATCACGAAAAGTACTCAATTCACTTTTTTTTCTGATAATAAAAAAAAACTCGATTTTTTTTAATGATATAAAACTAATAACGTGATGTTATTGTTAATTTTATCAAAAACATCTTTTACACTAGACTGATGTCATGAGTTTTTATTCATACAATATTCAATTACAATAAACAATAGTCTTATTAATTCTACTAAATTCATAAGCAACATTGTTTTCTCTTCGGTCGTCATAGCAGATGTTATCAACTTATTTATCTATAAAAAGTGAAACATATATTAGTAACCGTGTTTTTTTGACTATTTAAATTACGTGTTAAATTTAGATGCCAAAAGAGCAAAGTCAATATATAGTAAGTTTGAAATCATGGAAACACAAGAAAATAACAAGAAATTTTAAATACATCTATGTAATGACTTAGTTGTCATATTCTGTGGAATTATTCGTTCTTTTAAATCTACGTTCGATATTAATGAATAATACAAGAAAATGTTGAAGCAAAGACCAATGTATTGAATAAAAACGCACAGTCAATTTCTTTTTTACGAAGCAATCGATTAAGATTTTTATAATCATTAGGTCAATGGTATTTTCAAGTAATTGTATAAGGTTTAAGAGAAAAAGAAAATTCTACAGAAAATATTGATGTAAATACGTACCTTTTTTTTCTATTCGTATGGAATAAAACTAATTGTGTCGAAGAACAATATATAGAGAGAAAGAAAATTAATAAAGCTCAATAACTTAAAGAAAATTTATAAGTAACTGCTCGATGAGGAGACTAATAATGAATTATAAAATAAAGAGAACTACTTATTTTTTTATGAATTCTATTAACATAGATTATAGAAGTCTTGCGTATATATATATATATCTATTGTATATGCTTGTTTACATCAATCATACTGCCTCCGCATAAGTATTTTTTATGGATATGACTACTAATGAGTCAGTAACTAAAAATAAAACACGAGCTGGATATTTCTTAACCGCTACTCTCTTTTTTTCCCAACATTATTTAATAACAATTTGTTTATTATTAGCAAGCATTTTTTTTCATGTCACAAGTGGACTGTAAAAAAAGAGATTTACGATTTAATAATGTTGAATGCGCAGGTGTAACATGTGCTTGAAAGTTTAATCATGGACAAACGATTACCATAAATAAGATTTATGATTTCGAGATATATTTTTTTTAATAATACATAAATTATGATAAAAAATAGATATTTATGATGACGTATTCATTTAAGATGCAAAGCAAAAAAAAATTGAATTGCAAATAATTCCATCAAAGTCATGATAGGGTGAGTGAATTTAAATAATCATTATATTATTTTATTAGATATAATTTGATAAGGCAGTATTTTAGTATGGATAAAATAATCATAAATTTAGATTTTCATATCTATAAAATAGAAAATATCTAGATTCATTAATAAAAAACAAATTTCATATGTTACTGATCAGGAGATTTCTAAAGGCTAAGCTACAAAGCAGAGCTTGTTACGCACGCAAATTTTTTATCAATATATTTCAGGCTGTAGAGCTCGAGTTGTCGTCATTTGAAAGCTTCGAATGAAGGAAAGAATCTTTGTAATTTTTATTCTGTTTCATTCTACGGGTCATTGAAACTTCAAAAAGTCTGGAAATCTTAGACGTGATTTTCTAGAAAATTCAGGGTTTATCTTATATTAGCGATTACCTAGAAAATTTCTTTCGTTCATTTGAAAGGACTACGCATATGTGTATCGACAACAAAGAGAACACAGCTCTCTAGAATGAAGTATATTAAGAAAAGATTTGTTCTACAGTCCAATCATTACTGAAAAAAATCAATTTTAGGAAGTTTTTTTGCATATAGTCTTCCTATTATTACTCAAAATGGAGGTAAAGCATAATTATATAACATGTCAATAAAAGCACTTACCTATATACATTAGATTGTTCTCGTATGAAATTTATCATGAAAGATTATACTACTTACCATTGCCGTTATATCATTCAACAATGTAATAAAGCAGAAGACAAAGAAAAAGAATTAATTTTCTAAATTCCTTTGTTATAATAAAGTTTTCTTAAAGACTAATAACAAAGGTTAGTTTCTACTAGTAACTCATAATAAATATGGTGTTTTATTTTATATAAAGTATCTGTTTTACAGGCATGGATGAAGGTGGGGATTTAGATGTGTGTGGAATGTGCCTATAGATGTGTGTGTAAAATGTGCGTGTGGATGTAGATGCGCGTGGGCTGCTCATAAAGAGAAGATTCACACCCGCACCTTCAACTTATTGTCGATGTCAAAAGTATGTCTCTAAGATACTCAAGATTTGAGTTGCCTCTGGAAATATATTTATTTATTTTGTCGATCTAACTGTACAAAAAAAAATTTACTGATTACTCTAGACATCATTATTTATCCAGATAATTCCAAAAATCATTCATAAAATCTTCGAGAATCAAATTTATTTTTATGAGTTCATACACTAGACAACTCAAGTAATATGTTCATATGTTTATTTCAAAAAAAAAAAATTATTTTTTTTGATGCAAATGGAGTTTTCTGAAGTAGAAATCTCTTTCAACAGGGAATGAGAAATAATCACTGAATCATGAAAAAAAAAGAGATTTGACATATAAAATTGCTTATAAATAGATTGTGAATATGCGTCTCTAATTAATCACACTTTCTGGATGTATGATTCCTACTATTTCATGTTAAGAATAGTATGTGATTAATAAAATATAAGTAAGAAAAAACGAATATTCTATTTTTCAGGCAGAATAGATGTTTGATTAATATTTTGGATCATATGTATTTGTTTTTCCTAAACGATTCAATTTGATTAATGTAACATATCCATTCAATCAATTGTTTATGCTACTTGAATAATATTCAATTCATATGTTTAAAAATGAAATTAATGAATGAAACTTTTTCACTTTAATTTTCTAGAGATATCAATGTTATAACATATAAATCTATTTATTACAGCTATGATAAATGTCATGTAATCCGAATAATCTCTTTAGTGTAGTTAAAAAAAAATAACTAAGTGGTATTTTACATCTCAGAGTATAATATATGAAATCGGCATCTATCACCTTAATGAATATTATATAATTTTAGTTATCTCATATAGATAGATGACGATTAATTGTTTAAAAAAAAACAGAAGTGGATTTTCTTCTATTTTTTCAAAATTGGGACAAACATTCATGAAAGTTAATATCTACATACTGTGGATCATTTGACTAATTATTAATACACTCAACGCATTATTTAAAAAGAATCGAAAAGATATATAACAATCAACAGGATCTTGAAAGTTTAATCGGAACTGATATAAGTATATCAGATAAAATTAAAATAAAAAAAAAATGATGTGTGAAATTATATACAATTTCAAATATTATCAATTTTTTTCTTGAACAAATGGAATATTAAAAACTTGTATGAATCTATCAACAAAATTTTAAATATTAAATATAAAATTGATCTTATCAAAACCAATATTCAGAAAAGAAAAAAAATCAAATGTTATAAATAAACTGTGATAAAAAAAAGAGCGGAAAAGATTGTCGAATCTATTCAACCGCAAAATTGGAAATGTACACTTTAAGATAGATCAAAATTTTACGTTTTAATGCATAAACTCTCATAATAAGGTCGGTACACAGACTTCTCTAAAAATAAACCTATTAATTTACCAACATGAAGACTATCTATAAACTATAGATTGTAATTAATATCTAATAATTACTCGAGATATTAAAGAGAAAAATGAATTTTTCTCATAGAGCAGCATACGTTCTACGATATACAAAAGTTTTGAAAGTCCAAATATGATTGCTCAACAACAAGTTTATCCATCTACATCGAAACCAATACTTTAATATTTATTTTAAAACTTGAAATACTATGTTATCTTGTATATAAAATTCTCAAAATATAATCATATAAAAGAATATTTTGTATGGGTCCACAGATTCTCAAATTTTATCCTGAATTTATGCATTTTTAAAAAGTTCACGCTGGTCTGGAAAGTTTTGTTATAGTCATTGTAGATATGACACATGATGTATTTATTCCCCATTTTTGAGTGGAATAATCTTTGTCGAGAACAATCAACT